CAAAGGACAAGTCACGTTTAATTCGAAATGTTGTTTTGTGGGCAATACTATATTGCACTACCCAATCATCGGGAATTATGTGACCTCCAAAGTACACGTACACTTTGACATTAGTTTTAGCCGCCATCAATCTTCAAAAGATTAAGGAGATAATTAACTCATCAATCCAATCCAGATTAATTAATAATGAGGCATATTAGTTAAAAAATAATAATTTAACTAAGCACACCAAAAAATTAATTAGTTAATTTAATTTAATTGCCCGATATATTACAAAACAACACCATTTTAGCTACTGTTTTACAAAACAACACCAAAAAAAAAAAAATTTCCCATGCTTATAAAATATATATAGTACTAATACCTAATATAAAATAAATAAATTATTAACTAACTAACTAACTAACTACCCACATGCATCCTAAAAACACTAATCACATGTATTTACAATAATTAATTAAAAAATTTGAACATAATAAAAAATTATAATAATATTTTTTTTTAATTATTTACAATAATAATAAAATATTACCTTGGTTGGGTGAAGAGCACCACCGAGCACCGGCGGAGCACCGGCGGCGGCGGAGACGACGGCGAGGAAGGCAGCGGCGGGTAGCGGGCGGCGGGCGGCGGGCAGCGGTGGCGGCTAGGCGGGGTCGGTGGCAGCCGGATGTAATTATATTATATATTTTATTTTTAATTTGAAAACTAAATTTGGTTTTTTGTTTTTGAAATTTAACAAGAAGAGAAAAGGAGGAGAGTTGGAGGAGAGCTGGGAGGAAGAAGAGGAAAGGAAGCTGAAGAGAGAATGGAGACGCCGTTGTCGGTGGCGGCTCCTAAAGACGCCGTTGTCAACGGCGTCTCCTGGTCAAGCACAGCCTCCAAGGTGGCAGTCTTGATCTGGGCCGTCGGATTGAATTTTTCCAGTGCAATCTGGACCGTCTATATATTAAAATAATAAATTAATAAAATATTAAAATAATAAAATATTAAAAAATATTAAAATATTAAAATATTAAAAATTTAAAAAAAGGGTAGAAGACGCCACCGGTGGCGGCGTCTCCAGCTGGTGCCGCCGTTGACGGTGGCGTCTCCGGCCGGTGCCGCCGTTGCCGGTGGCGGCCAACCCCAATTTGCTAACTTCCCCCAAAACAACACCATTTTAAAAACTCCAAAACAATACAACCCCAAAAAAAATTTGCCACCTGAGCTGAGCGATTGGGCGTTCTTCTTCCCAAATTTGGCACTAGGTGACAAGCTGGTGTTTTCCCGGCGATTGTCCTCCGATGCTCAAGTTAGAAACCTATCACAATATAAACAAATAATATTAATTATATACCTAAGTAGTGTGTACCTCATTATATGAGTTAAATCACATATATGTGATGGAATAGGGAGGCTTCTTGTAGAATTCGATGTGAGATTATACGTTATATCTAAATTCCCATGG